TATTCCATCATTTTCCACCAATGTGATCCTGGCTCTCCCAAGCAGGTCATCTTTGTCGGTGAAGCTGAGTGCTCCACATCTCTTCCTTCATGGTGCCCATCAGAATTCTGACTTTTTTTCTCATATTAAACTGAAATAAAATGTAAAAATCTGTTAAAAATCTTTTTTTTTTTTTTTTTTTTTTCAGTGGCCCTAATCCTCTTCCTTAGATATCTGATGGCAGTAAACTGATCTGTTTGGCTTCTCTAAATAAGATTCTGGTTCTTTAGCAAAAAATTTAACGGAAAGTTGTGAAATTTTCAATTGCCAGCCAAGATTTTCATTACTCAGTTTAACCTTTAAATATAGACGAAATAACAAAAAAAAAATATGAACAGTACTAGCATGTAACATTGCAATTGAATTAAACTTTCAAAGTTTATATAAATATACCTTTAAAGGTGGTATTGCATTATTTATCCGTGGGTATTATGTCACCCAGACTTTGGTCAAACAGATTTTACAGCAACCAAATACAAGATCAGCAGAAAAGTCTACAAAAACTGTCCACAGTTCAGCATCACTTTATTGCCTGCTTTTTGTGTCGATTGTCATGGTTGCTAGGCGACAGAAGGTATGCTGAGTGAGGGGCGGTTGAGGCAACAGAAGGCTGTACCTGTTTGCATCTATAGTCAAACTCTTCCGGCCTCCTTATTTTCAACTCAAACACACCCTTTATTTTCAGTTTTCTAGGAGTTCCAGCATTTTTTCCAGGCCTGTTCTATGAGAATTTTTTTTTTGGTCTGACTTTGTTTTCAAAGAATTTGTAATTATTTTTATCAAATTGGAATTTCTGTAGGTTTTCCTTTCATTAATAGACCAGTACCACCAATTTCCTCCATGTCCATTATATTATATTGTTTTTAATCAATAACAAGGTGTGCGCAACAAAATAACTTAATTAAAAAACAATTTTTTTATGCCCAAACTGACAAACACTGTTATGGTCCATACAGAGGTCATCCTATATTTGGTTTATGTTATGTAAGGTAATGAACATTGTGTGGTCTGAAGTGTTGGTGCAATAAACAGCATCATTAATGTATCAAAGAAAGCTCAGTCAAGAATTTGAAGAGGTAAAATTTATTTCTACTAAATCTTGAATAAAACAGAATCCATGAGACGCCGAAACACCCATGAGGGTATATTTCTTCAGTAACATAACTCCAATAAGCTCTTTATCCATTTCTTATTTTAATCTGAACATCTAGTAACTGATTTCAAAAAAGAAAAAAGGGGAAAGAAAAATACAAAAAAAAAATCATCTTCATCAAACTCTTCACCCTGCATTTACTCTTTTAGACCAGCAGAGGGCAACAGTGCACATTTTATGGCACTATAAAAATGAGAATCTGCCTCCCTTCAACATCTTTCCAGCAACATTTTGGAATAAAGATGCTTTTAAACTACAAATGTTTTACAGTTATAAGCTACATTTTTTTTTCTTTTTACAATTTCCAAGACCTTCGAGTTGCAGTAAAACATTACACACAGTTAAACCCAAAATATGTAGGTAGTGAATATGAGCATCTCTTCTTTAGTATGAGGGAAACATCAATACTGGAGACTTTTATAATTAAAGCAAAGATTGAATGAAATGATAAAATAACCTGAAGGCAACAGCTCACAAGCCAACCTTTCATCTCAGTTTGTTTGCTTAAACTATTTAGTTTGCTGCGAGTTCATCAAAAATAGCTGATATATAATATCTTTGACTGCTAAATGAAACCAAAGAATGTTATCATCTTGCCTGGAGTTTTCAACAGTAAAATAGGCAGTCAAAAATTAACAGATGCAAATTCATTTTCTGTTGAAAAATCAACAGAAAATGAAAAGAAAAAGCAATTAGAAGTGATGCATGCAAAAAAAAAAAAGAAGGAAAAATAGCATTTGGGCTGATCTGTTGAATAAAAACCACTCAGGGGAATGTTCATCACAATGATAGGAGTGCTTATAGTGTTCATGTTTTTTATTTCTTAACATGAACCAAGTGGCTTTCTTAATCTTTCAGATGTTGGGAGGTTATGTCACAAAAAAACTTTTGAGACTTTGCAACAACAACAAAAAAAAGAAACGTAGATAGATCCAATGTGCCACTCCCCTGGGTTATTTTACCCTGGAACCCATGGGTGGGCAATTTTCCAGTTCCTAGGGGGCGGTATCCTGCAACTTTTAGAGCCATCCTTGGTCCAATATGCCTGAATCAAACAGCTGAGTTACCTCCGTCGTATTCACTCAGCTGACTCAACCAAAGGTACATCTAAAAGTTGCAGGATGCAGGATGTGATTTGACTGTCCTAAAGTAGCACCATAAAGCCGAAAAACCAGATAAGTTTCCTTTAGGCTCCCAGGAACAGTGTGCCTGATTGAAGCAGGGGGACACTTCTCAGGTGGATGCTCCATCTTAAAAGAGGGGTTAAAATAAATTCAAAAAATAAAATTTAATGACAATTGAACCATTATATAGCTATCTCTATACTTATGCTGCTATAGGCTTAGACTGCTGGAGGACATAGGGACCCCTTTTTCATCATTCTGCTTCATTCTATCTCTATTCTCCCACTCTGCAGAATCCATTAGTTCAATCTCTAACGTTCTGCTCTCTTTGCTTTTTCTCATAGTAGCTTCATCTGGTCTGTTCCTGTTTGGCTGTGACTCCATCCTGGAGAGAAATATCAGCTGTGCTGCTGCCATCAACACCCTTGTTTATAGATGTTGGAGATCGGCCTGTTTTCCAGTGTAGTCCTGTTTCTCTGACTGTGACTAACTGGATGTGCTCTCTTCATCCTCTGACATGGGGGCTGGCTCGGAGCTCGTCTGCCTGGCTGTGTGTTTCCTGGACGGGGCCGCCTGTGGAGCTGGTTGACAGTTGCCTTTTGTATCTATGCTTCTTTTTCTATGTCTGCTTCTGTCTCCTTGAACCCCAGTGGGCCTCAGCAGATGGCCGCTCACACTGAGCATGGTTCTGCTGGAGGTTTCTTCCTGTTACAAGGGAGTTTTTCCTCTCCACTGTCGCTACAAGCATGCTTAGTGTGAGGGATTGCTGAAGAGTCAATGAGTCGATGCAATCAGCTGGTTTTCCTTAGATAGAAAACTTTGAATCAATCTGACTGGATGATCTGGTGAACTGGAAAGAGTCTTGAGATGACATGTGATGTGAATTTGGCGCTATAGAAATAAATAAACTGAATTAAACTAGATTATCGTTACTGTAGGTAACTAAGCTAAATAAATGCAGGTGATTAAAATAAGTTACACAGTGCAAGAAACCCTGTTTCGCTCCTTAAACAAATGAAAAATATATGCAAACTTCAAACAACTCTTTCAAATAAACATGACGACGTAGATAATAAACACTTCTCTGGTATGTGGTTAGCTTGTGAGTTGTTACAGAAATGTCAAAAACCGATGTGAACCATGATTACAATGAAATCTAAAACCTGTCGGGTCGAAGCAAAACATTACATCCGAGGGCGACAATGGAGGCATCAAACGGAAAAGCAAGGAAATCACTCAGTCCATGGAGGACGTTGCACATTAAGGCAGCTGAACGTCTCTGCTCCACAGAAATACTCAATCAGTGGGACGTCCCAATCCAATACTGATCACAGCAGAAATCAGTTCACAATAAATGGTTCGGGCCATTTTGTTGCTAGCTACGCTTCTTTGTTTACGTAATATCACATGACCCTGCCTTTTCTAATATTCCACATTATGGAATAACTAAACGTACGTCTTGATGTGGTAAATACCTGTATTACACAATATCTGTATATCAGAAATTAAAACGTAGTATTGGGACATCCTTAGTGGTGAGTTTCCTCAAATCAGAAAGTCTTAAATGCTACTCGTGAGTTTCAGGGATTTGGCAGATTTCTATTTCTGTGCATTTTTTCTGTAAAATCTGAAGGTGTCTGAAGGTCCAACGTATTAAAGCTCCTTGATCTCTATGGACACTTGGTCTTAACTCGTTTACTAGGTTACTTTCACTTTCAGAAGAAAAAAGACTAAACGTTTTAATGATCCATTGATCTTTTTAGCAGCTTTGTGCGCTTCAAGGAAATCTTGGAGTGTTTCTAAACCATCGTTTAAAATGTGTCAAATCAGGTCATAAACAGGAAACTTCATTCTCAACTTCTTTAAACAGGAATCTTCTTCTTGCTCTTTTATCATGCAGTCTGTCCCGATAAACAAAACATTCAAAAAATTAAGGAGACGACGTGCCATGGGGTACAAAATGCAAAAAAAACAAAACAAAAGAACAACCAAAATCATTCAATGGAGAGCTAACATAGCTTATATTCAGTCAAAGGCTAAACAAAGGAGATCTGGCAGAGTGATCTGAAAGGCCGCCACTCAGCAGACATAAAACCTCGTCTCTTCCCGCCTTTAAGTGGGGAAAAAGCCCTCTGACATGGCCTGGTTCCCCTGTTTGGACCTACAGGGATCAGAGGGTTACTTCTACACTCTGAAGCTTTCTCCTTTGCCGTCGATGTGGCGCAGACGCAGGTAGACGTCGGTGCCGATGCCCTGCATGGACTGAACGGAGAGGGAGCCGCCCAGGTACTCTGCGTAGGCCCTGGATGTGGGCAAACCGAACCCAAACCTGTTGAACACAAAGATGCAATCAGACCAAACGGTAAATAATACTATAGGGATGGCCGATTAATCAGCTTGAAGATTTAGTCCAATTTTCTATTTATGGAGATTACATTTTTTAGAACATTTGTTCCTAGATTAAAATCTCATTAATCGCAATGTGTAATACCACTTGCTGCAAACACTTAAGGGCAGATTATACTTCTGCAACCGCACACATCAAATGTGTGCGGTTGCCTCCTTCTCTTCGCGCACAAACCGCGCTCTGCTCGAGTCTCAGATACGCTCGCAAACCCAAAGGCTCTGCTTGCGGATTTTTTTTGCTCTCTCTCTGATTGCAGTTGGATCGTCGCCTAGCAACCTCTCCAGCCAACAGAACGACCTCAGAAAGGGTGCGCTTGTTTAACTCTGAGTGTGCCTGTGATAAACCTTACCGACAATAAAATAGCTTTTTAATTTAAAAGCTATTAAAATAAGAAGATGAAAAAAAACAAAAATCAGGAAAATAAAAAAAAGGAAATAATAAAGGGCGATTCAAGGATCACCAATGAAAAGTCACTTAATTTCTGCTGGAGGCAGAATTAGCATCTGACTAGCAAACTTTTTTTTCCTTTTTTTTTTTCTGACCTACGGGTTTGCGAGCGTATCTGAGACTCGAGCAGAGTCACAGATTATAAGTTTTGAGTGCAAGAAGATGAAATTCTTTTCTCAAATTGAAATTATGTGCTCTTGCATTATGGCAGGATAATTCTCCCATACGCCGGCGGCAGTGTTTATCTATGGAAGTAAATCTCTGTCGCTGGGATTTAAATTAAAAATGCCACTGAAATTTAAATGTTGTATGTTTGTATTTACTGTTTCAGTGTTAAAATATATTCAGAACACATTTTTGACCTAAAAAGAAGTTAATTGTCATTATTTCTACACAGTTGAAATTTCATTTGTTATTTTCTCTTCAAGCTAAAAATTCACATTACTATTTCAAAGTGATTACATTTTTAATACTTATCTTTCAGTTTAATTTTTCAGTGTTAAAAAAAATCTGCATATAAAAAAATTCAACCTTTCAAAATTCAAACTCAATATTTTCAGCCTCCTGAGATTCAACTGGCTCTATTTCACCGTCTTAAATTCGGCGTCTAAATTCAGTGTAAAAAGGGAAGGGGTTACTTCAGGTCACAGACATTAGCAATGGATTGTGGCGTCCAACACCCAGCCAATCCCGTTACGTTTTCTTAGTCACGTGACGTGACGCTTGTGGCGCTCATACGGAAGGAAAACCAGCATGACGGAGCCGGTCATGCAAGCTAACGCTAACTCAACTACAGAAAAATGAAAGTAATAAACTCACCATTGAGTTACCGTTAGCTTGCATGACCGGCTCCGTCATGCTGGTTTTCCTTCCGAATGAGCGCCACAAGCGTCACGCCACATGCATTTTTGTCGCTGGCATTTTTAATTCAAATCCCAGCGATACAGATTTACTTCCATATTTACCTTCCAAAAAAACAATGGCGCATCTGCAAGATATCACAGTTGTGGAGCTTGATCTAAAGTTGCTAGACATCAAAGAGGAACAGGTTCTGTTAATGGAGCGAAACTCTTCGATTAACCTTTCGTCATAGTCGTCCATTGTAGTTGTTCCTCAGTTTTTAAAAATGGCACGCCCCGGGACAGAATCGAGAAAGACGACCACACAGACAGACGGAAAGGCATACCAAGAACCAATCACAGCTGTGTTTTGTCTGTGCAGGTTTGCGACTGTCCGACGCGTAGTCAGGAGTTTTTTGAGACAGAGACAGATTTGACGGTTGCAGAGGCTATGCGTCAGAAGCATAAATTGGCCTTTAGGCTACATTCACACTGTCATTTTTTGTGAAATCCGTTTTTTTTGTTTGTTTTTGCGTTGCCGTTCACATTTCCAAATATATGCGACTTGAATATGATCTCCTGTGTGAACTGCATTCATAAAATGCAAGTTTTCCGAATGCGCAGCAGAGGGCGTAACAATGTCACAGGCCAGCGTGCTCTGTGTTCACGGAAGTAAAGTTCCCAACCTTAAAAACACAATCTTTTCAATATAAACACTGCTCTCTGCATCATCGTCCGCCATGGTGTTTTTTTTTTCTTGCCGCTTCTGTGTAGCAAGATGCAGAATAGTGACCTTAGTCGGGTATTAATGGCGTACAGGTCGGATAAATACGACCTGGCCGTTCAGACACAGGTCGCATTTAAAAAGATCAGATTCGTATCGGATTCAGGACCACATAGCCAAGTGGCCTGGGTCGCTTTGGAACAAATCGGATCTGTGTTGTTCAGACTGCCATGAAAAGATCAGATCCAGGTAGCATGTGAGCAAAAAACAAAACTGTTGCAAAGCTGCTGTGTTTGAACGTAGCCTCTGAACGTAGCCATCGTTTGTTGTGAAAGCATGTTCTTATTTCCGAATAAAAGCAAGTTTTTTAAAATAATGCGGTACATTTTTGATTTTTTAATTGCGAAATTTAAAGGTACAGCGTGTAAAAATTACAGGTATAATCTGACAGAAATGTTTTATAAAAATAATGTAATGCATAAAAATTATTATCTATAAGTCAGTAATTTATTATCACCAATGAGGAGGGATGGGAATCGAAAACCGGTTCCTGCTCAGAAACGGTTCCGCGTGTTCCAATTCCATGGCACCGTTTGGCAGCTCGCTTAACGGTTCTCTTAACGGCATCAGAGCCTAGCGCTGGGAAGCACAAATTACGTCACGTTTTCTACGCAAGTTACGTCAAGTTACACACACGGCATTCAGTAAGCAAGTACGACGTCACAAGACGAAAATCTAGAAAAGCAAAACACTGCAAACATCCCTTATCCTGTTGTCTCATCCTTACCCATGCATGGGGCTGGACTGGTTCCCACTGTTGGTAATGGTGTTGAACAGGTTGCTCATGCGGGGGTCCTGAACGCTCTCCTCTGCAGTGCTGAAGTGGTAGTCCATAACCTTGTCTATTATTTTGTGAGGGATGCCGCCTCCACGATCAGAAATCCTAAATACAGAAAAAAAAATCAATCATTGTCAGAGCTGTTTTAAATGATTATTTATTTTCTTTTATGTTGGCCTTGCCATACATTGCAATATTTTCAATCGTTGCACAAAGCTACAGCTCAAACTGTACGATGAATTCGCAGGGTTTAAAAGTTCACTTTTAAAGTGATTGTGCGACGATCTGTTGGTTTGCATCCGAAGCAAAAACACACAGCATCACGGCCAGTCTTTCAGGAACACTCACGGGTGAACTGTGCGTCACCTGGCGTTGGATGAGGGGTTGTAGACGGCGAACAAGCTCGCCAAACCGACACACGGACACCCACAATCCTAGCTAGTTGGTGATTGTCCCTCTTGCGTTGTGGCGTGGAATAACCAGGCTTCAAAATTGGGCATAAATCAAAAATATCTGCGTCATATAAGTGCGACAAACTAACTGCGACACACTGCTGCAGGAGGATACACAGCCCTTTATTCAAAGAACGCAGCAAAGAGGCTTGTGGCCACTGGGGGAGCTGTAGAGATTAACAGCTCTGTTAACAGTAAAACTATTATTCAAGGGCTCCACAAATGTGGTCTTTCTGGTAGGTAGAGATTCTATAGGAGTCCCACATGCTATGATGACATCATGACAAAGATATGACAGAAGGCGCTCTGCTGAGATCAAACTAAAAAAGAACAAACCGTCCCCTTAGGTGAGGATTTATGTCATCAGGGACATTCAAAAGATGGATAGTGCTGAGTATAAGACAAAGTGAGATGCATACCAAACATTTCTAACTTACTTTTTTTTTGTATGACATTAGAATCATGAAACACGTTTTGCTGATACCTGAGTGAAGTTGCCCTCCCCGACCTTCTTCAAATCAGACACAATTACTGTCAAACGTTTGTGCAGCAAAATTTTCCGTTTGTGCCGCTATCGTTTTAAAGATATAAAGAGATGTTTCAAGAGGTCATCAAAGGTCAACGGCACAAACGAAAATTTTTGCTGCACAAACGTTTGACAGTAATTTTGTCTAATTTAAATAAGGTGGGGGGTGCTGGTTGACCTTTTGACCTTTACATTTTCATTCAAATCCAAAGCAGCACAAACGACAATTTTTGCTGCACAAACGGAGCTGAGTTAATTGACACTCATTTCGTCTGATTTAAAGAAGGTGGGGGGGCTGGTTGACCTTTGATGACCTCTAGAAATATTTCTTTATATCTTTAAAATGATAGCGGCACAAATGAAAGTTTTTGCTGCACAAACATTTGACACTAATTGTGTCTGATTTGAAGAAGGTGGGGGGGGCCAACTTCACTCAGGTTTTGCAGATTTGTAACTGGAAATCCTAACGAAACCCATTGAGGTAGATTGATATGTGATCAGTGACTCATTCTAAAGCTGTAGGATTTTTTTGCCCTTTTCTGGCTGATTTTCCAATCATGTGAGAATTTTTTGATCGGGACGACCTTAAGCCTGATTTTGTTTAGTATACAGGGAGTAACGAGGAGTGATCAGCCTCTCACGACCGCCTCCCAATCAGGAATCGTGAGGTCTGTAAAAATCAAACACGTGAAATTCAGTCGGCCGTCGTCAGGTGGTCGTGGGCAAATCACTCAGTGGGCAAACCAGGATTCTTCTTCTTCTCAGATGAATGCACAGAAGCTACAGACCGTACTAGCCACGTTTGCTCAGCCGTGTTTTTGACCAAATACGTCGTCACCTTTTCTTTTTAGGGCTTTCAGCACAAAATTCCCCAAATAGCTAAGGCAGCGCGTTTCACTCTAGTGAGCTTCATATTCCTCTTCTGCTCGTTAAGCCTCCGGATAGACGACTCCGATTAGCGCCATCTCACTGCGGAGCTGAGTCCGACGTCGTTTTTAGAAGTACAGTGTGAGCAGGTAGATCGCATCAGAGCGTAGGGTCGCACAGCGTGAGAACAAACATCATGAGCTGTGAACTTTTGTTGTGAGCTGTAGCTGCGTGCGACGATTGAAAAAAATCATACAGCGTAAGCCCGGCTTAAGATCATTAAAAACTAAGACCTTAATATGAACTTT